AGGAGGTAAAAGTATCAGTAGTAATAGTAGTATGTACGCAAATGGTCTACCAATATATGGTCAACTTCCACGGATCCCCCTATACATGAGTCCGAATACCGGCTAGTCTCTGATAACGTGCCACTCAGTGTGATTCATCATGTTGTCGTGGTGTTATAGATTGAAGTCAAGTACGCACTTCGTGCTTTCTGTGCAACTGCGGAAACTCTATATCCTGGATACGAGAGTCGTTGGTATTCTTTGAAAGTTTGTTATTTTGTTGTGAATGTTAAAGTGTTAATAACACAGCGATGTCGGTAGAGAATTATATTCACCGACGTTTCGGTTACCGTGGGTAACCTTTCTCAAGGCAGGTTTTATTTTGTCTCTCAGCACCAACGCCGGATCAATAAAACTGTTTACCATAGCGCTCTGGTTCTCTCGTTCTTTTTCATTCAAAGCTGGTTGCTACANGCTACAAAACATTGATGCTTATTTAAATGCGCAGTGGTGTGGATTGTGAAAGTGCATTTACTTTTACTCGATTAAGCGCTCTCATATTGTCCTACTCCTTAATTTGACCTCATTTTCGATATTGTACAAGCCATAGTGTGTGATTCAAGGAATCTTTATCTTTTGTAATTGGTCATCTTCATCTCGTTTATAGGAATCTTTTTTTTATAAGTACCTCGTTCGTATTGTCTTTTACTCCTTGAGTGTTATACTCGTTTCTCTCCGCTCAAAAACACAATAAGTAGGAGTTTTGAACCCCTTTCCACACCATCCCGATGCATTCGTTGCTCTCCTTTTTCTGTGTAAAATCAGTCTGTGATACTCGATGCGATCACTTTCTGACCTAATGTGTGACAGCGAACTGCAATCATAGGTAGGAGCTTGTCAATAATCCAAAATGTTCCATCTCGCCAATCAGCATCCAACGGTGCGAGCCACATTGTTCCCCTGATTGCTATCAACTTCGCTGATACCGTGGCCTTTTTTTCTGGGTTCGAACGAAAATGAGAGAGGATTGCAACACTGTCCTGTGTGCTGTTCAGTGTTTCTTGTTGTCACTTCCTATGAGGTCCGATTGTTTGAAAAGGTATGTATTCCGAACCAAAGTGTAAATACCCTATGGGATTTGTTAAGCGAATTCTTCGTAAGTTTTTTCCCATAATAAAAATTTGAATTTGTATGCACATTTAGGTTGTGTACTCTGTTTGTGGACAATAAAGGTTCACTTTCTTTACCTCCTTCTAATTAGGCTAATTCTCACTTAGGGCTTGGTAGCGAGCAGTGAAGTTCGGTTCATTGTACGATGACGATATCGTTCATTGTATTGCCACTACGATAATGTCTAAGTGATGAACACACAAAAAGCAGTTTCCAGTTGATAAACGGGCATTGTTCAATTCTATCATTTCAACTCTCCCCACGCTCTTGTAATGTGAAGGGTGAATTCGAAATGAGCATCCTGGTTTGCAACCCAAGTGGTTCTTCTTTGATATGGAACTGTGTGTTCACTGTCTGGTTCATTAAACAGTCGGAACTCGTTCGTACTGCGTTGGTCCGTTTCTCTCTCAGTATCTGATTGCGCAAATGGTTCGCTCATCTATCTGTCCACCCCGGTTTACCTGCTGCTAGACCAGTATGGTCACTGGAATACTTTTCAGTACCGAAATGTCCTTATCTTATGTGGACATGTTATTTTCAGTTGAAAAAAATTTATGCAAATAGATGCATAACATCTTTCTTTAAAGCCTATCGAAATTTACTGACCCACTCTTTGAACCACTATTCAGAATAGCGTAGAGCATCGATAAATATTTTTTCCGTATGTATTGCTTAAATTCGTCGTCGAACCCAATAGCGGACGTTTTGGATTGCTGTTTTGCTGGTTCTTATTTCCCCAACTGTGCTGGATCAATGAAACACCATAAATGTGACTGTGAAGCAGATATGGTTCTATTTTCCCGTGAGAGAAAAACCTCAATTCCACTGGAATCCCACTCTCGTTCTCTGTTTGTTTTTCTTCATTCCCGTAAGCTGCATTGCCCTCGTTTTTTTCCGTCATTGTCTGTGTTTCACACCATTCCGAACGCTATTCTCCGTGATTCATTTGAACGCTTATCATCATCATCATCATGATCCTCGTTGTTCCTTTTATCACACAGCTCGATCATAATAATATTCTTATCTGAGATAGTATGTCGAGGATCATCACCGTCACATCCACATGCACATCGCTTAATATATTTATCGCACATACTTATCAAAACTTTACAAATCGGTAAACGATAAACGGAATTGATCCTGTTTCCTTCACGGTTATCTCGCTTCAGTTGCGTCAGTAGTTAAATAAAGCTTTATTCACTTCGCTTTGTTGTTTTCACAGTGTGTGTGTACCTATGTATTTGTGCGTGTTATTACTGAACGATACATCATCATCACCCAGATGTTCTGCGCCTTTTCATTCGTCTGTGTATGCACAGACGCCTGGGATGATCATTGTTTTACTACGTCTCTCTCTCGGGTACAGATTCGAAGCGATCAATATACTAGTGGTTAATGCGTATGCCTACCTGCATGCTGAAACGCGTGCGTTTGCACAAATTTGTGTACCTGTGCGGACGTTCATGTGTGCTTGTATACCCACGTGATACGTCAAAATCCCAATCGGATTGTGTGTTTATGTCTGCACTGATCAAACAGTTCTCTTTCTATCGTTCCTTTTCGGGGACTGAATAATCATGATCGACTTATATTGATATATTGCCGTATGTAATTTTCTCTCACAATCCGTGAAGCACTTCTGTTCAGGATGAAAGTGATGCTATCTGAACTTTTCTCTGTCTCACCCAAATTGCCTCTTCCATTGTGGTGTGCTATTCTCAGTTTTACACTATCGAACGACCGAAACCGAAAAGGCTCTTACCTCGTGATATTATCTCTCGGATGACACGATTTCGGGGATTTCGTTGAATCTGTTTGTTCTCTTTATCTGCATTTGTCTCGCCAAGGTATTGTGTAAACAAGATGATCGAACAATTCACGCATTCCTAATACGTACCGAATGTCATTTGTGTGGATACTGGCCTGTCTGCTCGGTGCGCTTCAATACTTGCGATACGTATAGGTCTAATGTGGGTTCACAG